AGGGAGGGTCGGGTCGGGCGGGCGGACCTTAACGGGCGGGACGGGTCGGGCGCGGTCGGGCGGGCGGACCCTGACGGGCGGGTCGGGTCGGGCGAGCGGACCCTAACGGGCGGGTCGGGTCGGGTCGGGTCGGGCGGACCCTCACGGGCGGGTCGGGTCGGGCGGGCGGGACACTAAAGTGCGGCTCGTACCCGAGTAAGCACGCGTGAGCCCTAACGGGCGGGTCGGGTCGGGTCGGGCGGACCCTAGCGGGCGGGGCGGATCGGGTCGGGTCGAGCAAGCCCTAACTGGCGGGTCGGGTCGGGCAGGCGGGACACTAAAGTGTGGAGGTACGCTCGAGTGAGCACGCGTGAACCCTAAAGGGCGGGTCGGGTCGGGCGGGCGGACCCTGACGGGCGGGGCGGGTCGGGTCGGGTCGGGCGGACCCTAACGGGCGGGTCGGGTCGGGCGGACCCTAAACGAGCGGGTCGGGTCGGGCGGGCGGACCCTAACGGGCGGGGCGGGTCGGGTCGGGCGGGCGGACCTTAACGGGCGGGACGGGTCGGGCGCGGTCGGGCGGGCGGACCCCGACGGGCGGGTCGGTTCGGGCGAGCGGACCCCAACGGGCGGGTCGGGTCGGGTCGGGTCGGGCGGACCCTAACGGGCGGGTCGGGTCGGGCGGGCGGGACACTAAAGTGTGGGGCGCGCTCGAGTGAGCACGCGTGAACCCTAACGGGCGGGTCGGGTCGGGACGGGCGGACCCTAACGGGCGGGGCGGATCGGGTCGGGTCGAGCAAACCCTAAGCGGGTCGGGTCGGGCAGGCGGGACATTAAAGTGTGGAGGTGCGCTCGAGAGAGCACGCGTGAATCCTAACGGGCGGGGCGGGTCGGGTCGGGTCGGGCGGACCCTAACAGGTCGGGTCGGGCCGGGCGGGCCCTAACGGGCGGGTCGGGTCGGGCGGGCGGACCCTGACGGGCGGGACGGGTCGGGTCGGGACGGGCGGACCCTAACAGGCGGGACGGGATCGGGTCAGGCGGACCCTAACGGGCGGGTCGGGTCGGGCAGGCGTTTAATGTGTGGAGGCGCGCTCGAGTGAGCACGCGTGAAACCTAACGGGCGGGTCGGGTGGGGCAGGCGGACCCTGACGGGCGGGCAGGGTCGGGTCGGGTCGGGCGGACCCTAACGGGCGGGTCGGGTCGGGCGGGCGGGACATTAAAGTGCGGCGCGCACCCGAGTAAGCACGCGTGGGCCCTAACGGGCGGGTCGGGTCGGGTCGGGCGGACCCGACGGGCGGGGCGGATCGGGTCGGGTCGAGCAACCCTAACGGGTCGGGTCGGGTCGGGCAGGCGGGACACTAAAGTGTGGAGGTACGCTCGAGTGAGCACGCGTGAACCCTAACGGGCGAATCGGGTCGGGCGGGCGGACCCTGACGGGCGGGGCGGGTCGGGTCGGTCGGGTCGGGTCGGACCCTAACGGGCGGGTCGGGTCGGGCGGGCGGGACACTAAAGTGCGGCTCGTACCCGAGTAAGCACGCGTGGACCCTAACGGGCGGGTCGGGTCGGGTCGGGCGGACCCTAACGGGCGGGGCGGATCGGGTCGGGTCGAGCAGGCCCTAACGGGTCGGGTCGGGTCGGGCAGGCGGGACACTAAAGTGTGGAGGTGCGCTCGAGTGAGCACGCGTGAACCCTAACGGGCGGGTCGGGTCGGGCGGGCGGACCCTGACGGGCGGGACGGGTCGGGGCGGGTCGGGCGGACCCTAACGGGCGGGTCGGGTCGGGCGGGCGGGACACTAAAGTGTTGGGCGCGCCAGAATGAGCACGCGCGAATTTCAACGGGCGGGTCGGGTCGGGTCGGGCGGACCCTAACGGGCGGGACGGGTCGGGTCGGGTCGGGCGGACCCTAACGGGCGGGTCGGGTCAGGTGGGCGGGACACTAAACAGCGGGGGCGCGCTCGAGTGCGCACGCGCGAACCCTAGCGTGCGGGTCCGATCGGGCGGGCGGACCTTAACGGGCGGGGCGGGTCGGGCGGACCCTAACGGGCGAGTTGGGTCGGGCTCAAGCCAACCGGCCGCGGGCAAGAGAAGCCAGAGGAAGAGGGGAGGGAGAGGAGCAGCAGCAACAGCAGCAGCATGAAAGAACAGGAGCGGGAAGAGGAGAAGAGGACGAGGAGGGCGAAAACGAACCCAGGCGAAAACGAGCCCAGGCGACAGCCAACCCGGGCGTAAGCCAACCGGGCGAAAGCCAACCTGGGCGAAAGCCAACCGGGCGAAAGCCAACCGGGCGAAAGCCAACCCGGGCGAAAGCGAACCCGGGCGAAAGCCAACCGGGCGAAAGCCAACCCGGGCGAAAGCCAACCCGGGCGAAAGCCAACCCGGGCGAAAGCCAACCCGGGCGAAAGCCAACCGGGCGAAAGCAAACCCGGGCGAAACGAATCGGGCGAAACGCATCGGGCGAAAACCAACCCCGGCGAAAAACATCTACGCCCGAAAATCCCCTTCCTGCTCGAACCCCCCCACTCCC